TCAGTCCTTTCTGCCAGTTGCTTTTGTAATAAGCTGGAGCCACACAGAATTTTGTTCCTTGTTTTTGCTATTGCTGGTGATTCCATGTCTTCCCACACCCATGTCTTCCCACACCTTAGTTGTTTTTCTTCACGCACTGCTTACTGCTCTATCTATGTGGCGTGGCATGTCCCATTCCTGCTTTGTGTTCTATGATACTGTTTTCTATGTGTTTCTTCTATTTGGCTATTATATATATCATACAGAGACTATACCCTGTTGGATTACCCTTGATCCCTTATTACCATGTTGTCACTGATTCTTTTTTTAAAACCTACCCCTCCCCAATCCACAGGATTTTTTCAAAAAGTTTTTGTATGAGCCATTGCCGGTAGAGTCTCACCTGGACCACTGTATGCATGACCACTTCAATGCTGAGATTGTCACCAAGACCATTGAGAACAAGCAGGATGCTGTGGACTACCTCACCTGGACCTTTCTGTATCGCCGGATGACACAGAACCCAAATTACTATAACCTTCAGGGTTAGTGAGCTGAAGAGCATACACTGCCCTTGGAGGTTTTCCCAGCCCTTGCTAGGCAATATCCCAAGACTTCCCTCTTGCATCTCCGCAGGCATATCCCATCGTCATTTGTCTGACCACTTGTCAGAGCTGGTGGAGCAGACCCTTAGTGACCTGGAGCAGTCCAAGTGCATCAGCATTGAGGATGAGATGGATGTGGCCCCTCTGAACCTGGGCATGATTGCTGCCTACTATTACATAAACTACACCACCATCGGTGAGGACCAGTGGAGACTGTTGGGATGAGATGTGGTAGCCAGACAGAAAGGTGCTACTGCAAGAAAGCAGTGCAGCCCACACCGTTGTTTCTGGTTACTCTGTTCCTTTTCCCCTACTATTGGCTCTTTTCTTATTCTCTCATTTTCTTTCAGAGCTCTTCAGCATGTCTCTCAATGCTAAAACCAAGGTCCGAGGACTTATTGAGATTATTTCCAATGCGGCAGAGTATGAGAACATTCCAATCAGGCATCATGAAGACAACTTGCTGCGCCAGGTGAGGGCACTGGCTTTAGAAGAATATACAGGAGTAAAAATTTGGCCCATGTGCCAAAGCACATGACTTCTTGTCACAAATCCCCTCGTACATTTCTCTTACCTCTCTCAACGTCATACATCCTTCCACACTTAACCTGCAATTCTCCATCCTTCCCTCTAGAGTCTGGCTGGGCCACATGGTGTATTTGGCCTGGACAGGTCTCAGGTAGGGTCCTCTGTTTATCACTAGATTTTTAAAATTTTTTTCTTTCACATTCTAGTTGGCTCAGAAGGTCCCCCACAAGCTGAATAATCCCAAGTTCAATGATCCACATGTGAAGACCAACCTGCTGCTACAAGCTCACCTGTCCCGCATGCAGCTAAGTGCCGAACTACAGTCAGACACAGAGGAGATCCTTAGTAAGGTAGTATGGGCGAGACTTGGAGGTTCACTGCCCACTGGGGGGCTTCAGAAGACTGAGTTCCCAGCCGACCTGCTCTTATGCTCCCTTTCCATACAGGCAATCCGACTCATTCAGGCCTGTGTGGATGTACTCTCTAGTAATGGGTGGCTCAGCCCTGCTCTGGCAGCCATGGAACTGGCTCAGATGGTCACCCAAGCCATGTGGTCTAAGGACTCTTATCTGAAGCAGCTGCCACACTTCACCTCAGAGCACATCAAACGTTGCACAGATAAGGTGAGCTAAGACCTGGAGTGCTGAATGATGCGCCTGAGAAGAAAAAGTCCTAATCTGCAGGTAGATTGTGGGAGGCTATATAGCCTACTAGCAGGGGGCCCTGGTTCCTTGGAAGGAGTTCCATCTGAATCGAGATAATGAGAGGGGGCAGAAGTGGTCTGCATCCTTTCTAAAGCTGTGTTTAGATGGCTTGGCAGTGTGGGAAGTAAGATGAGCAGTTCTTTAGTGCTGCAGCCAGCACAGCCTGGATAGCCAAGACTGGTGGTGGTGGTGGTGGTGGTGGGGGTGCCGGGATTGAGACACGGAGGCTTCTTTTCAGGTGGAAGAACGGCAAGCTTTATTTTGCTCAGCAACCTTTTATACCTCTACTCTTTCTGTGGAGACCCACTGGCCAGAAAGAACAGACCACAAGGAAGTTCCACTGTCAGTCAGGGGGAGTGAGGGCAGCTGGATCACAACACTTTAGAGCCAGTGTTACTTGCTTATGGCATGTGTTCTCGGCTCCCCTGACCTCTGCATACCCACTGTAGGGAGTGGAGAGTGTTTTTGACATCATGGAGATGGAGGATGAAGAACGAAATGCATTGCTTCAGTTGACTGACAGCCAGATTGCGGATGTGGCCCGTTTCTGTAACCGCTACCCGAATATTGAACTGTCCTATGAAGTGGTGGATAAGGACAGCATCCGCAGGTGAGACAGGAAGCGCCAGGAGTCCTGCCCTGGGGTCTCTGCACACAGCCACAGTACTCATACATTGTTCTACTTTCCACAGTGGCGGGCCAGTTGTGGTGTTAGTGCAGCTGGAGCGAGAGGAGGAAGTCACAGGCCCTGTTATTGCACCTCTCTTCCCACAGGTATGTCCTAGCAGCTGGCTTTGCCAGGAGGCCATTTGAGGCCTTGTTCACTGGCTGTGTCTTAGGTATAGGATATAGTTCCCACCCAGGGAGGGTAGTCTTGGGGTAATGAACTCACAAGACTGAGTATTAATCTCAGAACTAGGAAGTATTTTTCTTTTTTGTTTTTAAACAACTTAGATGACTGATCATTGTTTAAAAACATCAGGCAGTGTTATTATTTCTCTGGCTTGTAAGATGCATTTCTCTCTACAGATGCTTCAGGATGCTTGGACTTTTCTATTATCTTTCCTCGGTTATATTTCACTTAGGTTCTAGTTGCATATTTGTTTGTTTTTGTTTTTTTGAGACAGGGTTTCTTTGTGTAATAGTCCTGGCTCTCCTGGAACTCTCTTTGTAGACCAGGTTGGCCTCAAACTCACTGAGATCTATCCACCTGCCTCTGCCTCCCAAGTGCCAGGATTAAAGGCATGTGCTACTGCCCGGTTGCATATTTGTTTTTGAATCAGTAGAAAGGAAATCTCATCTTCTTTATATGAGATAATTGAAGATTGGGCACAGATGCTAGATGTCTACAGACAAGTTATTCAAGTTTCTAAGGAAATTGACCACTGAAGCACATGGGCTCTTCTGTGGCCCACAGAGAGGGCTTCTCCAGAGACAGGATGTCAGAAGAGGCTCCACGGGGTTGCTTTTTATTCTTTTGTTGAGGTTCATCTCCACATTAAGATTTTTCAGTTAGCTTGCCTGGCATCTAAGTTTCTTAAGAACCTGAAGCTTGGAAGGGGGTGGGGGGGATGGGAGGAGATGGAAATTTTTAATTTAAAAAAAAAAAAACTTGAAGCTTCTATGCTCCAAGACTAAATATCTAAAAATGCATTTTAGATTCAGTGACAAGCATTAAGTAAAAAAGGTGCCTTGTGTTATAGAAATGAGGTAGAACTGAACAATTAGTCTGTCTACTTACTTGAAGACTAAGTCCTTAGGGGATATCTTTAGATTGCTTAAAAACTCTTAAGTCTATCAAGTTGTGTTTCAGGAAGCAATTGTGGAGAGCTTTAATTTGAGTTCTGTCACTCTATTTCATAATCAGTCTCATAGTTGCTTGTAAACATCAAGTTTTCTATGCTCAAGTTCTTGGTTTTGGTCCCTGTAGAAACGTGAAGAGGGCTGGTGGGTTGTGATTGGAGATGCCAAGTCCAACAGCCTCATCTCCATCAAGAGGCTGACCCTACAGCAGAAAGCCAAGGTCAGTGTGTGCACTTAATCCTGCATCTATTCCTTGGGGTTTGACAGACGGATTGCCTTCTCCCTGGTCCCCACTAACTCAATTTCTTCCTGTTCTCTTTAGGTGAAGCTAGACTTTGTGGCCCCAGCCACAGGTGGCCACAACTACACCCTGTACTTCATGAGTGATGCTTACATGGGATGTGACCAGGAGTATAAATTCAGTGTGGATGTGAAAGAAGCTGAGACAGACAGTGATTCAGATTGAGTGTTCTCACGTATAAGGACATTGAACCTGGAAGCAGGAATGTGGACAGTTCAGGAGGAACTGGTTTTGGAGACGAGGTCTGACCATTGAGGCTGCTGCTGTTCCAGTCCACATCCAGTTACTTTCCCACTTTGGATCAAGCAGTTCAAGCTCTGGTCCAGTGTTTTCAAATGTCATGTCATGCATAAACTGTACAATAGTTGGTGGCATTCTTTTTATAGTTCCTTGAGTCAGACATTGTAATAAATAATTTGGAGAAACTGTATGACCTTAACAGTGATACTAAATTTTCTTCAACCAAAGGTCCTGGTCAGAAAAACCCTCATTTTTAGCACTGAATCTTCCTATTGAGTATGTGGAAGACAAACTGGCCCTCTACTGAGGGACAAAACAATGGCAGACAGCTATTCTACGGTCATGTGAATGACCTCAGCCTCCTTTTTGCTGAACAGGGGCAAACTTAGTAGCATGGGAATAGGAACTGATTCCATTTTGGGCAACAGGTAGGGCCTCTCATGATCTATGTTCTGAAATTCTTCTCTCACAGGAGGCAGCCCTAGGGGTGGTTAAGATGCACCAGTAGGGCCAGGCAGTGGTGATGAACAGCTTTAATCCCAGCCCTTGGTTGTGGGGGAAAGACTGGCAGACCTCTGGGAGTTTGAGGCTACCCTGGTCTGCAGGACAGCCAAGGCTACACACAGAAACTGTCTCAAAAATCAAAACAAAACAAAACAAAAGATGCACCAGCTAAGTGTGACTCTTTCCACAATCTCAGACCTACAGCTTCAAATGTTGGCTTTCTGTTCTTCAGGAAGTGAACAGTGCTGAAAGAAAGGGGATTGATCCATTTTCCCTCCGCCCAGCAATTTTCAAATGGTGGTCTCAAGACCTTTCCCCTTCAGAGAACTCGGAGCAGAGCCTCGAAAGCTTTTATTATCTAGGTTATATTCATTGACGCTTGTTATATGGAAAATCAAGGCAGTCCATTTCAAAATAACTTCATTAGCATATTTTAGGAAAAATAAATTCTGGAAGAAGAGTAGCGTGATACAGTGCTGCAGTCACTTTACATCTGGCTTAACAGAAGCCAGTTAGGGTCTTTAGCCGCTTCTGTGCTGTCTATCGTGCGGTCGAGTTGAAACAGCTTCAGAGGAAAGAGAAGGGTTTTCACATAACTGGAAGTTTCCTAAAGGCAATCTAGGGTCTACAGCTGCATCCATGCATCTTGTACTGCCTCATCTTAGAGTCACTCTCTGAATGTAACATTCTCCAAATGACCAACCACATCAGTACATGGTTCATTTGGAGACTGACCCATGAAATTGCACAACTCTCCATATACCTACAAAGTTCACTACTCAATTGCTAACTTCATCACCACTAAAGTTTGTTACAAGTTTTCAGATAAACATTTATCATTAGTGAAAGGTTCAATGTGTTCATTTTTGAGAGTCACAGCTAAAATAGCAAAGCCTAAATGCTGTAATTTTCTAGTTCTGGTAAAAAAAAAAAATGGCATGCCATAAATAGCTATCTTGGCTTGCAACAAATGTCCAGCTGCTCTTCCTTAAGTCCACCTTAATCATTACAGAGGGACTGGATGGAATTTTCTTGTTTGTCAGTATGACAAGTGTTCTCAAGGGTCAATGTTTAATAATAATTAGTCATCTTTCTTGTCTAAGAAGCTGGCTCCATTCCTACTGTGGGAACACGACAGTGAAGACTGATGCCTATTTAACTGGTGCCACTGCTTGACCGTGTGATAGTGTTGACTCTACAAGGGTCCTAAGACTCCCAGGGATCTGCAGATGACTGTAGCCACTACTGCTTTGGATCCTGCTTCTGATGTCTCTCAAAAGTTATCTAAGGTCAAATTGTACAGTATCAAAAATTAAATGAAGGCTCCAGCTTTGGAGACAATCCTCACCACTCTTTATTATACTTATTAGGCTTGATGGTGGTGGTGCACACTTTTAATCCCAGCACTCAGGAGGCAGAAGCAGGCAGATCTTCGTGAGGCCAGCCTGTTCTGCAGAGTAACTTCCAGGACTGCTAGGACTACACACAGAAACCCTGTCTCAAACAACAACAAAACACTAAAACAAAACCAAAAAGGCCTTAAAAGGCTTTAGCCTGAAAAACACCACAGATTGGCAGCACACACACAATCGTCTTTTACTTTTTTCATTTTTTTTTTGAGACAGCTCTCTTCCTGGTTGTCATTTTGTAGATCAGCTTGGTCAGCCTCCTGAGTAGTGGATTATAGGTATGTGCCACCATACCCAGCCTGCTGTTTTTAAAGAGGGCCACAAGCTATTGTCATAATGTTTTCTGCCCTCACTGAAAACTAGTTCTCTCTTTTGGGGGCTTCAGTTGCCACCACAGCATAATGTCTCAAGAGGCATATGACAGTTTCTAAGGAAGAACAGTGGCATTCTTTTACTCTGAACAAACTTTGAACATCTTTTTGCTTGTTGAGAAAGGGTCTCGTATATCCCAGGCTAGCTTTAAACTTGCTATGTAGCCAAAGATAACCTTGAGCTTCTGATCATTCTGTCTTTGCTTACTGAGTACTAGGAAGACGCCACAACTGGCTAGAATGTCTTAAATGCAAGGACTTTTAGAAATTGCGAAAGTGGGACCTATTTCAAACAGTGGAATTATAAATGATAAATGACTTTAGTTACAAAACAGGAAGTGTGGCACAGATGGATTATTTCTATAAAGCTCACAATTTCAGAAAGTTCTCAGACACATTCTTCCCTGTACATACATCGTGATTATAAATACTATATTTATCCCAAAATGTAACCCCATGCCCTAAATCAAGCAAAATTTGTAATACAACATACTTCTGTTCCATGGCTCTGTCCCATGGCTCCCTCACACCAATTAAGGGAAACAGTGAATGGTCCTGTGGCTTCTACACATCCAAACAAGGCATAAAGCTAAATGTAGATCAAGGATCCTTCAGGTCCTCTCGGTGACTAGGAAAGTCTTGGCAAGTCACACTATAGTTCAGAGGCCTGCAGGATGGTGATACTCCCAGAAGGCCACCTCCCCATCATCACTACAAGAGGCCAGGAGCCCTGGCTCCTTGGGATTCCAAGCCACACAGTTGACATCCTGGGAGTGAGCCTGGCGCATATGAGCTGTCAGAGAGAAGGTAGGCTGCTGTGGATCTGAGCCGGGATCCTCCTCAAACACTCGGATGGCATCGTCCCCACAAGCTGTAGCCAGGGCCCCTGTCAGCTGACACCTAGGAGGAACATACACTTCAGTGGGAAAGGAGATGACTTCTGCCTCTCCAACCTGGCAAATCAGGAGACGGAGACGTGTTCCACAGTCCCAGGCCTAGTTTCTTCCCAAACCTCAGGTCTCAGCTAAGCGTCTCACAGAAAAAAGCTTTCCTAAGCCATCACACCAACAAAGGCCCTCCCAGTTCTCAGGTGTTGCCCATGTCACTGCATCCTTAACCTCCTCTTAACACTGATATTAACAAGTTTCACCATAATTTAGTCCTTTTTAAAGTCAAGAACTTACTTTAAAATAAGCATTGAAGATTCCTCCATTGCCCATCACTGTATAAAACTTGAATCTGGAATGTTCAATTGCCTATTCATTTTAGTAAGTTTAAAAAAAAAAACCAAAACAGCAAAAGTTCCAATTGTCTAGCAATGAATGTTTGAGATCTCCCTCTCCCTCCCCCCAGATATGTTTCTCTGTAACTCTGGCTGTCCAGGAGCTCGCTCTGTGAACCAGGCTAGCCTTGACCTGAACTCAAGAGAGTCACTAGCCTCTACCTACCAACTGCTGGGATTACAGCACCAGCACCACCTGGCTAACACTTTTTAACGGCTGTAAGATTTATTTTTTATATGTATAGATGTTTTGCCTATATGTGTGTCATGCTGCCATGTTTGTATTAGTGCCCACTGAAGCCAAAAAGGGTGTCAGATCCCTTGGAACTAGAGTTACAGACCGTTGTGAGCTGCCATGTAGATGTTGGGAATTGAACCCAGGTCCTCTAGCAGAGTAACCAGTTCTCTAGCAGAGTATCCAGCCCCAAATAGGTCTAAATTTTTTGTTGTTTTGATTGTTGTTGTTGTTTTTTTTTTTTTCAAGACAGGGTTTCTTTGTGTAGCTTGGCTGTCCTGGAATTCTGTAGACCAAGCTGGCCTCGAACTCACAAATAAGTTTAATTTTAAGCCGTTAAGTATCGACCTCCCCAAAAAACAACTCCTAGCTGGGCAGTGATGATATACACCTTTAATCCCAGCACTCGGGAGGCAGAGGCAGAAAGATCCTTGTGAGTTATAGGCCAGCCTGATCTACAGGGTGAGTTCCAGGACAGCCAGGGTTACACAGAGAAACCCTGTTTTGAAAAACTAAAAACAACAACAACAACAAAAAAAAAAACCCATCTCCTTAGCTAAAAGTAAATTTTAGCTTCTGCACAAAAAATGTCATAAATTTAATGCCTTGGGGGAGAGGGGCTAATTCTCCCTGAAGTCAAAATACTCAAGTCCAAATTCATGGGACAGATATTCCCCAGACATTTAATATAAATAAAGCTTAGATATGTAACCGATTTTTTTCATTGGTTTGGAATTATTTCTAAGATCCAAGACTCTGGACTAAGGTCCAGAGCCTCCAAACTCCACCCTTCTAAGAATGGAGCAGCTTTTCTAGTCTCTGTAAGAGTCAGTTACTGAGCTGGGCATGCTTTTAATCCCAGCTCTTAGGAAGCAGAGGCAGGAGGATCTCTGTAAATTTAAGACCAGCCTGATCTACAAAAGCTAGTTCCAGGACAGGCTCCAAAAGCTACAGAGAAACCCTGTCTTGAAAAACCAAAAACCAAAAACCAAAACAAAACAACAACAACAAAAAAAGTCAGTTACTAAACCACACAGTTCAGTTACAACTGTACATACTCCATCATCTCAGGACTGCCCAGTGCTACGTAAATCCTAAGGGCTGGTGCTGCCCTCAAAGCCTGGGATCTTATCCCAGAAACAGTCTTAGGTATAGTCATCTTCCTGCTCCTAGAAGCCTAGGCCAGCCAGTTATAAACCAGAATGGTAGGCCTAACCTGAACAATGCAGAGCAGCACAGGTCATTCCGTTTCTAAAATCCCTGCTTTAGGAATGGGATTGAGGTCTTACCAAGCAACGTCATAAATGGTCCTGGTGTGGAAGCCTGACAAAGTGCAGATACATTTCCAGCTGGGGTCGGAGCCACTGCATGCTACCCCTGTGGGACAGAATTTTCTTAAGCCCAAGGCATTCTGTGTCCTGAGCACCTCTACCATTGCAAAGGAGAACCAAATGTGCCCTTCCTCATCCCATTGCCAATCAATTAGTCCTTGTTTCAACCCTTCTTATCTGCCTTATACACTGTTGCCACCCAAGAATTCTGAGAAGGAAGCACCCCTGTTCCACTGCAGGCTGTATCTAACAAGTTAATCTGCCTTTTGAGGCCACCTACTAGCCAACCCAACCAACTTCACTCTTCTTTCTAACCCTCTGCCTTGCCTCAAGGAATCTCATTCTTCACAGTCAACTCGTGCTGCTGGGTTTTCTTTTCTTTCTGGGTTTTTTTTTTTTTTGAGTCAGGGTCTCATGTCAGGAGCTATGTAGCTCTGGCTGGGCTGTTTTGGAACTCACTATGTAGACAAGGTTGGCCTTGAACTCAGAGGTTCCCAGCTTCTGCCTCCAGAGCATTGGGATTAAAGGTGTGCGTCACCACTGCTTGGCAGTTTTTTTGTTTTTTTTTTTTTAAATTTTATTTTATTTTATTTTGTGGGAGGAGGGGGTTGCTGGTAGGCTTTCAACTGGGAGTCCTTTTTCAAGACAGGGTTTCTTTGTATATCTGTGGTGGTCCTGGAATTCACTCTGTAGACCAGGCTGGTTTCGAACTCAGAGATCTCCCTGCTTCTGCCTCCCGAGGGTTGGGATTAAAGGTATGTGCTATCACTGCCCTGCTCAACTGGGAATCCTGCGTTACATTCTCCTGCTACAAATTCTACATGCCCTCTTCAAATCTTGTTGGAAGGCTTTGTTCCACAAAGCTATCTCTAGTTCTTTTGGTGCTTCTCTGGAGACGTCCTACAACACATTGAATCCAATTTGTGATTCCTGGCAGACTATAAAATTCTAAGGAAAGGAGTCTCCTTTGACTCCTGGACCCTCACCTTGTTCATTGCCTGGTAGATACTGGCGCCAAATGCGCACAGTACGGTCATCACTGCAGGATGCCAGCCTCTGGCCACTGGGGTCGAAGGCCAAGCTCCATACAGTGGACTCATGACCTTCAAGGGTGGCACAGCAGACCCAGTCATCTCCTTCTTCCTGGTACAACTTCACTGTGTCATCATAGCTGGCGGAAGCTAAAAGCTGAAAGTGAGAAAGGAGACCCAGCATTTGTTTGTATGGCTCCAATCTGAAACCCTGCCAGGACAGGACAGTTCCAGAGATCCCTGTAAGAGTGAGGGTGATGTTGACGAGTGCCGGCAGGCTGGACACCAGCCTCCACATCATATCCTTTCCGGCCTCGCCTGACTCTTACCTCCTGGGTTGGGTGCCAAACCACGTGTTTGACGTCCTGTGTGTGAGAGTTGAGGACACTGACACACTCATATTCATCCTCTTCGTCAACTGTGGGAGAAAAAAGAGCTGACCCTGTCTGGAACAAAGCTGAAAGTCAGGGATCTGGTTTTCCACTGTACCCAGAGGCCCCGGGACTGACCTTCCCAGACCCACACACTCTTATCTCTGCTGCAGGTAGCCAAGAGGTTGCCAGACGGAGCCCAAGCCACTGACTTGACCTCATTTTCGTGGCCCTCGAGAGTGGTTACACACTGCAAAGGGAAAAAGATTGTGAATTAATCGCAGCTAAAGGTCTTAGGCCCCAGTAAAACATCCAAGATCACAATTTTGTTGTCGAGACAGCCCAGGATGTTCTATAGCCCAGCATGACCTTGGACTTTTGGGAATCCTCTTGCTTCGGTGTCCCAAATGCTGGGATTAGTGTCATGAACTCCCATACCCAGCTACCATTTGGACACTATAAGCATTAAGTAAAGGCTGTACTCAAACGGTCCAGGTTGACCCAGTCTTGGTGTGCAAACATCCAGCCTGGTTACCTCAAAGTCATCCTGGTTCTTCTTCCAAATACAAGTGACAGCATCAAAGCTGGCAGAGGCCAGGTAGTTTCCACAGGGGGACCATGCCACTTTCCGAACAGTGCGCTGGTGGCCTTCAGAAAGGACAGACTTGCAAACCCAGCTGTTACCTACAGGCAGAGAACAGGCTAGGCTCTGGAGCACCATCAACGCCATTCAGTAACCGGTACTGAAGGTGAAGCTCTGCTGAGGGGACAAACTCATGCACCATTACAGCGATGCAAGGGACTACTTCCTTAAAAGTGTCAAACTGCGTTTCAACTACTTTTCTCATTTTTCTTCCTCAGCAAATACCCCAGTTGCCGCAACAATCCCCCAGACTGTCTGTTGACGTTTGCACACTCCTTCCCCCGACAAACCCTTTTCAGAGTAGCATCTCCCGCGGCACCGGGGTCACAAAGCCAAACCAGGCCTTACCCTCGGTGCCCCAGATGCGGATTTTACGGTCGCCGCCGCACGAGGCCAGCAGGGCCCCCGTGGGGTTCCAGGCCAGGAACCAGCAGCGGGAGTCTGGGTGTGCCGGGACGCGGCTCCGCAACACCAGCGAATCCTTCATGGCGGCGGCCTCAGGGTGAGAAGGAGGACGCCGAAAGCAATGTACAGAACGCGGTGGCCACTATGGGACCCCGAGGCCGCCAGGGGCCCAGCTCCTGACAGAGGAGTCGCCCGGGGAACTGAAGGGCCCGCTGCTGAGGTCGCGCGGCCTTCTGGGATTTGTAGTCATTCCCCTTCCCCTTCCACAACAGGCAGCCTCGCGGGACTGTCCCGAACTACCAGTCCCCGGATGCCCCGCGCAAGAACAGGCGGCGCGCGCACACAGTGACGCACCAAGAGGGCAGAGCCGTGAGCCGGAGGAGAAGGAGGAGGAGGGGGTGGGGTGGGGTTGGAGGAAGCCGGAAGTGCATCAGCCTGGGTCCGTCTGGGCGTTGCGGGTTTGGGGCCTGGGATCGCTTGGCCCGGGCAGCTGAGAAGCCCGTGACCGGGCGGAGCGGCGCCATCCCGGCCCTGAGATCTACTGATCGGTGAGAAGCAGGGATTAGAGTAGGGAGGGTCCCTGTGGCTTAGGTCGCACCTCAAAGTGCGGGTTCCGGATCCCGGCGGCCCCTCAGCAACCCTCTGTCCATTAATGCTGGTCTAAGTCTCCTCCGCCCCCCGCGCTAGTAGTTGACCCCCAGTACTTGCGCCTGTTCATCCTGGCATGTCCACGGCCCACTTAGTCCCCTGTCCTCTCGGAGTCCTGGTCCAGCACTCCTCATCCAGAGCCCTCGGTCCCCGCCCCCCGATTTCCCGCAGTCCTTCGGTTTGTTCTCAGCCCTGGGTCCTACCCCGCAGTCTCTGGTGCGGGCCCTGACAACCTGCCCCCCCCCCCCCCCGGGCCAGCTGCCCATTGCATTGCTCTCAACCCGGGTACTGACAGGCTCTGCGCGCCCCGCTGAGGTCGGCGGCCATCAGCAGCGACTGCAGAGCTACAGCGGGCAGCCCCGGGCATGTATGCCCCTGGAGGCGCAGGGCTGCCGGGAGGGCGCCGGCGGAGGAGCCCGGGAAGCAGCGCTCTGCCCAAGCAGCCAGAGCGGAGCCTGGCTTCTGCCCTGCCTGGCGCCCTGTCCATCACGGCGCTGTGCACTGCCCTGGCGGAGCCCGCTTGGTTGCACATCCACGGAGGCACCTGTTCCCGCCAGGAGCTGGGGGTCTCGGACGTGCTGGGCTACGTGCACCCGGATCTGCTGAAAGGTGAGGGCACTGAGCTTCTGCTCTCCCGGTTGAGGAAAGGTGCAGGATGGACATGGGACTGGCTGAAGCACAGATAACCAGAGGCAGTCATTTGTTAAAAGCAATAGCCTGGTTCTTGGTGTTCACGCCCACCAGGTGGCTCTGTTTGGGGGTCTAGCCCCTCATCAATTCCGATGTTATTCAGCCAAGCACCTAGGTAGTCCTCACCCTCATGCTAGTCCAGAATGCTGCTGTTTTAGGTTTTTGCCAGAGGAAGGGCCCTTATAAGTAGAAGAAATAGGGTCTTAGGTATCACAATTAGCCACCCCCTTCTAACAGACCCTTGAGATGCAGAAAAGTTGTTTTGGGGTAGCTTGATTGATGGAGAAAAGAGAACTGTGAATATGATGAATTGTAAGAGATATTTTAGTATTCTATGATAATTGGAGTTACCGAAGAGGGTGCTTGTGGCCTCGCAGGTCATCAGACGTCAGTTCCATTGCCACGCTCAACAGCTGAAATTTGGTTTTCCATGCCCTTACAGGTATGCCTGCCTACCTGAGATGGTTGCTTTATTCATCTTTAGTTCTGGTTCATTCCTGTTAGATGTGTGCAAGGTGTCTCATGAAGGGCTCACGCCCTGGAATCTGATGAAAGGTCAGCATCCCCCTCTATATTGGAATAAAAACACTGCTGTAGGTCTAAGCTGGAAAGCCTTATGCTGTCACCTAGTGTTGTCTTTCTTGGTGAGTTCCTTTAACAGTTCCCTTCTGTCTGCACATTCAAGGCTTTAGAATGATTTTTTTTTTTTAAATACAGAACATGGTGGAGGCTTCTGATTTGAGACTTCTTTTTTCACCCTCTTGCTAAGTTTGTCTCTTTAAGACCAAGGTTATGCAGTGGATGGAGGCCTTTTTCCGAGCACATACCTGATGATACAAGGCTGTGGAGTTTGAATCTGGGTGCTTTTCCAGATTTCTTGCACTCACCTGCATTCAGGCCTTTTTGCATTTGACACCATGATGTTTCTGTTTCAGGAGCTGAGTGTCACACACAAACTGGGAAAGAGTTTATGATGATTGTCCTTTGTAGGTAGTCCCTGGGGTGGGAGGGTCATAACATTCAAATGGTGTGGAGAGAGGCAGTCTGATCTTACATCCTTGTTTCCGAGATCCAGGAAGAAACGTGAAGCAAGCTCCCGAGGCCAGCCCTGCTGGTCACTGATATTGCTTCCTGTCTGTTGATGCTAGAATAAAATGGTGCTGGCTCCTTAATTATGTTTATCCCTTGTTTTACTTCGACTGTTGTAAAGAAGGATCTCAGGATACCCTGCCTTGGTGTGCTTTCCTGTCGAAGGCATGTTAAAGTAAAAATCAGTTCTCGGTTCAAGTTTTTGTTTGTTCGCAGATGCATTTGCCCTTTCTAAGAAATTATTCAGACCAAGTTTTGTCCTTTTCAAATATGTTGTCTTAACCTTTACATTGCATTTGCTGTGTGTTTAGATCTCTTAGCCCATGCATGGTTTGCCTGCTCTGCTCACCTCCTTGGCCATCGTAAGCCTAGATCACTTAGCTCCTGTCTATAAATAGAAGCATTGGCATTGGGGCCTTGTGAGCCATTGCAGAAGGCAAGGAATCTGGTCTCTTGCAGCTTCTCTTCTGCTGCTATCTACCTGTGTGTTTTGTGTGCCTCATGGACCTTCAGGCATATGGTGTCCTTTGTGATTGTGCTGATTTCTAGTCTACCAGATATCTACCCTGGAGTCCTGGAATAGTCCAATCCCAGGAGGGAGTACAACTGTGCTGGGCAAATGTGGTGCTTATAGATGCTTGCAGAGGGAGACACCCCTGCTGGGTGTCTGCAGGTAACAGAGAGTGAGGTGGGCCGGAGGGCTCCAAAGCAAGCCTGTGTACCAAGCATGGAGCTAAGCACACTTCACATTTGCCTTAATTTGACCCTTATTTACAAAGGCCGAAGCTCAGAGAGTAGGTAATCTACTAAGAGACACAGCCGATCCAAGTTGAGACTCTGAAGTCCATGCTCTTCTTGCCACCACCCCTTTAGTTCACTCTGAGTTCCTTTTTCTTTCTGTTAGAGCTATGTGAAACTTACCATTTGCTATTCTGATTGAGTGGGGTTTGTTGTTGTTGTCGTCATATTTTGCCAGTAAAAGAAAGCTTTTATTAGGCGTGAGGAAATGCACACACACAACAAGGCACACACCAAAAAAAGACCTTTTGCAAAGTAGAAGGGTGATTTGGGAAGCCGAAGCCTCTCTTGTATTTTTATCACAAGCCCAGCCAGAGCTTTTTGGTGCCCGAACTATCTCTCAGGTTTCAACTCGGCTTGGTGAACCTGAGGCAAAGCCACTCACTCTTGCTGTGTGACCAGATGCGTGAAGGTTTTAGCAAATGCCAGCTCAACAGATTCTGTTCTGAATCCTCTCACGTAGCTTCTCTGGGCTTAGGTCCAGAGAAGGCTTAGAAATGCCTAGACTTTTAGTGCCTGAACGGCCTCTGCCTCTCTAGTGTGGCCAGCAAAAGGCAGCCCCACCACCAGCTTCAGGAAGCAGTTTTGAAGAATGAGTAAGTTGGGATTTGATGTCAGGTGACTCAAGATTGACAACAGCTACTGAAGGACAAAAGATGGAGGACTTGTGCACCTGTTAGGTGGTGACAGATTCTGATGTCATCACCAGGCCCTTGGGGGGCTGTTCTTGGGTGGCTTGCCTGGCACATTGACATCTGTAAGTTGACCCACTGGACACTAGTGTGCTGTGTCAGGTTTGGCTGACAGCGAAGAGTTCCAGTGAAGGGGTGCCGAGATGAGGAGAAGGTGCTCAGAGAGCTGGGGCAGTGAGGGGTCTGCCAGCCCACAGGGCCCCTGGTGAGGAAGGAGGAAAGGAAGAACAGCAGGAAGCTGGTCTGAAACCACTTTAGCTTTTCTGCCTTCAGTCCACATAGGTCAAGAGGGGGTCAACCACAGACACAGACAGGTAGACGGGAAGAGCCAGAGCATTCAAAACAAATCCAGTCCTGTGACTCACCAATGACCTTGGTCAAAGTCAGTTCCTTAGGATCTGATTACACAGCAGCTGCCTGCTTCCCTGATGACTGGAAGGGACGGTCAGCAGTGTTTACCAAAATAAACAGGCCAGAAGACAACTGGACGGGAGGATAGGATATGCTGTCTATCTGGAATGGAGTGTAGAAAACCACTGGCTCAAATTTAAGTCAAGACCCTATCCCACATGGCATTTCTCTCCCACAGTAAGTCACTCATACCTACCTAGTCTTTGGGGCGTTAGTGTCTCTGGAAGGCCCCTTGGGGAAAGGAGGAGTGTTATTTGCCCTCCCTAAGTATCACACTGGTATTTAGGAAAGGAAGCCAGGAGATGGCTTGATCAGGGATGCTCTTGATCAGGGCTGTCTTTCTGTCTTACCTCATGCTAAGACACTGCTCCCCTATTGCCTCTCTCTGGCAATTAGCACCACCCAAAGGGAAGTTCACATTTGGCTTTCCCCTTAAGCTAGCAGTTCTCAACATGTGGGTTGCGACCCTTTTGTGGGTCCACCGACCCTTTCACAGGGGTCGTCTAAGACCATTGGAAAACCAGATATCTACATTTCATTTCATAACTGTAGCAAAATTACAGATATGAAGCAGCAATGAAAATAATTTTATGGTTGGGGTCATCACATTAAAGGGCGGCAGCAGAAGCATTAGGAAGGTTGAGAACCATGGCCTTAAGCACTGTAGCTTTGGAGTAGAGGAGGACAGTTGGAACAAAACATGCTTGAATTTGGTGTCAGAAGCCCTTCCTCCATGCAGAGCCACTCTGCTCAGTCTGCCTGAACAGGTGGCTGCGTTCCCTCCTAGCACCCGTCTGTGGTGGGGGAGGCAGGGTCTTTGAGACAGGCCATCCGCTGACTTGCTGAAGATTGGCTGTGGCCTGTGGTAGGCCTAGTGTTTGACTAGGTATAGAGTTTTTCTGTCTTAACTCCTGACCAGAATTGTGCTTAGATGCCCT